TCTCGTCCTGACCCAACTAAAGGTTGTTGTTGTGAAGATAAGATCGAGATGAGAATTGTGTAAGCCACCTTGAATTGAAAAGAAAAAGAACCCTTGAAAAGAAAAAGATGGGATATAAATATAATAAATAATATATAAGTAAAATAAGCACAGCTGAAGTGCACCAGGCCAGAGGAGGCTGCATTAATGGTTCAGAAGGTTGCAAGATACCTGCATGGGATTAACTCCTCTCCCGCCCCAAAAAAGCAATGTTTGCTGTGCCATCCTTTGTTGCAGCATCAGTACTGGCATGAAGCTGCCGGGAAAAAAGGAGGGAAGAGCGCCTTTGGCCAGCTGGCTCATTTCCAGCAGCCAGCGACAGGCGGCGCCCTTTGCCCAAAGTTTCTCCGCCGGAGGCCGCCGCCGCCGCCGCTTATCTTGCGATGCGCCGGTGTCTGATCGGGGTTGCCCGCCTATGCACGGCAGCGCGGCTTTCACCTGCCTTCTGCGGCATCGCCCCACCTGGGCGCGGCCCTGAGTCCCGCGAGAAAGGGCGCCTGCCTTGTCCTGCCCGCGGCAGCAGGTGAGCTGCGCTCTTCTGCAAAGCGTGCCTCCTCGACCTTCCACCTGCCCGGCCCTTCGGGGCAGGCGTGGGCGCAAGGTGCAGCGCCCGCTGCCTGCTCGGCGGGGCGGCTGGCCTCGCCTTTCCAGGCAGCGGGTGTCGTGTGCGCGCCCGGGAGCCTCGGGGAGAGGGGCGTGGATCTCTCTGGTGCCATCCAGTCTCTGCGTGTGTGCCGTCGGTCGAAGGAGACGCTGCGAGGGCGCGCGGGGGAGGAACTGTGGGCGAGCGGTGTGCGCCCCAGATGGATCCTGCCGGTAAGGCTGGTGGACGATGCCAGCTCTGGCATCATTCAGAGCTACGCCCCCGTACAGCTCCAGCACGCATGCAGCCCGCGGCACCTCTGCGCGCACTTTCCCGAAAGTAAGCGCCACGGAACTCAGTGGGACTTCGCAGAAAGCATGCACAGGTTTCGCTGCGAGGCAGCGGTGCCAAGCACGCCTACCCTGGAGCCAGTCCCATCGAACTCAGCGGGCCATACTTCTGAGCAGACAGTCATTCGGTCTCACAACATAGCGGCTTAATTCCCAAGAGGAAGAACTGGGAAAGGGCTTGCCCACCACCAAAGTGGACGGGGATAACTGAGGCGGGATCAGCCTAAATGGGCTTCGTTTAGGATTCTGGCTAGTCTGGGTTGACTGTGCGCACGTGAGTGCATATGGTGTGAGGGGCTGATGAGAAATGCGGCTGCAAGCCACCATGCGTCCTCAGCCATCAGGTCTCACTAGATCCAGCGCTAATGTGCATAAGGTTTGGGGTGGGGCAGGGAAAGATGAGTGAGTTAAGTTTGGACTGCCCCCCCCACCCCGTTTTCTTATGATTATGTCTGGTGGTGCCACGCTCTTTCCTAGCCAGTCCTTTAGGAAAGTGGAAACATGGAGGGAATGGACGTGGCACCAAGTTTTCTCTTCGCGTTTTCGCTTTTGGACAGATCTCTCCGTGTGTGTTTGTTCTGCCTAACAGCGAGCGCTGGCTACCCGTCCTTTGTGTGTGTGTGTCGGGGGTGGGGGTGGGGGGTTGATGAGTGGCTTTTCTTTTCTGTTTTTGGCTCCCTGTTGCCCGGGCTAAGGGCAAGATTCCCACTAGCAGTGCCAGGTGCGAGCTCCATCCCAGCCATTCTTTTCCGCGCTCGCTCTCTCGCTCTCCCCCCCGCCGCCCCTTTGCAGCTCGCCGCTGCCCATTAAGGATTCCGCTACGCGAGCGAGCGAGAGGGTCCGCTTCACGGCCCCGCATCCCAACGCGCTGCCATGCCAGGGAGACAAGCAGGCCGACCCCTCCTCCCCGAGGCAGGGGGAGAGCAGGACGGGCGCTGCGCTGCGCTGCGCTGCACTGCAAGGAGGTGGGGAGCGGGCACTCGCTCGGGGAGGCAGGGATTTCCCCGATGACAACAGCTCCCGAGCAGCAGCGACCGAGCGAAGCATGCCCCCGGAATATCAACAAGCCCGGGGGCGCGCAGGGCGGCAGCCCGCCTCCTGCCAGCCGCTGCTTCCCCGCCCCCTCCGGCTGCCCGCTGGCGGAGCCGCTCCTCTCCCTCGTGGCCTGGGATGGCGCCCCACCCGCTGCACCCTCTCCAGCCCGCGGCCGAGCCTCGGCAGCCCGTCCGAAACGGCGAATCGTCGGCCGCCCTGCCAGGCCCTGGCTTCGCCTTCTGCGAGCAGCCCTGCATACGCGCGTCTCCTCCTCAGAGCGCTCCCCCGGTCGTCTCCTCTACGGAGTGGGTGCGAGGGGCGCGCGGTACTCCCGCTGCTCTTCGCAAGGTGGTTTTCATCCTTGCTTGCCCAGGTGAAGCACCTGGCCGGCGTCTATGAGAATGTCTTGCAGACACGGCACCTCTCTCCACTCGCACAGTTTTCCTGCCTGTAAACGGGGGGGGGGGGGGAGCACGCGTGGTGGTGTCCAGGTCTTGTCCCGAGTGCCCAGATTCATGCAGCTGTGCCAAGCTGGCAGTCTCTGCGTGCGTGTGTGCATGTCTGTGTGCAAACCACAGGCGAGGTCGCCCCTGTGGTTCTAACACTAGCAACACACTTCTGTCGGATTCTTTCTGCTTTCTCAAGTGAGAAGCTAAGGCTGAGTGACAGCGTCTTGCTGAACGCCCCTTAATTCACTTTGCACTCAGTTCTCCGTCCCCATGGACCCACTGCAGGCTGCCCACCACAGTGCCCCTGCCTGGGCTGCGGGTGAGTGTCTTCTGGTTGCAACTACTTGCAGACTCTGTCGCAGCTCCTGCCAACCTCCAGATGTTTGGCACTCCAATCCCCATCAACCCTTGTCAGCATGGCTGATGCCCTGGGAGTTACAAGGCCAGAATATCTGGAAGGGGCCAGATTGTGGGAAAGCTGTCCCATCAGTGTGTTGTAAAGTGAGAGGAGCGCGCAAGAAAATAAACCAACCAATAAATAAATAAACGGTGAGGTGCTTTTCCAAATAGCAAAGCAATTTCAAGACGCAAATAAGGTAGTGCTCACGCATGACCTCGGTGATCTTTACAACAGTCCTCCGCAGTAGGCCTGTATTAGCGTTCCTGTATTACAGAGCGGGTTTTGAAGAGGCGAGAGGTGGCCGGTTGCCTCAGGCCACCTCGCCAGAGAGGCTGCAGCCCACAGCTCGGCCTTTCAGCCGCCGCGCCGCTCGCGGCGGAGACGAGACGGCAGCCAGGCGAGTGGCGCGCAGCACAGCCAGCGTCCAGTGGCCACAGCCAGCCTGGCCATGAACGCCTCCAAACGCCAGGACCACCTCCCCCCCCCCCGCGTGTGCGTGTGCGTGTGCGTGGAGCGGATGTGCATTTAAGAGCAGTCGTGGCGGGGGGTTCATAGGTAAAGGAGCGAGCTTAGTTAATATTTCCACATCAGGAAGTGGCTGCAGCCGCCTGGGGCAACGTGCTTAATCTCTTAAACACCGCGGAGCCCATGGCGCCTATCCTGTTATAGGTTGGAGTTCCCACGTGGTTTTAACTTCTGTATAAAAGTTTCAGTGGAAAAGTGCTCCAATGTTGTGATTTGGCAGGTCAAAAAGAAAGAAAGGGAGAGAGGGGGAGGGGAGGAGGGAGGAGGGGGAACCCGTCTCCAGGAGATTAGAGGCAGATAAGCGAGGAACAGGGCGCCTTTCCAACCGAGACCTTCCACTTGGCGATCGGAGGCGGAACGTCAGGTTCGGGAGCGGAAGAGAGAAAGAGAGCGAGCGAGAGAGAGAGATTAAAACACAAGGCAGAAGCAAAGATAAACTGTCGGTGGGAGGCAGCGCGGTCGGTCGGTCGGTCTGCGTTTACTCACGAGCAACCCCGTGCCAAATTAATAACAAGGGCAAGACTGTTCGATGCAAGGAAAGCCCTTTGAGAGAGCGAGCAGCCTTGAAGCCGTCTGGCGTCGTTTCGAGTTGCTTCTGCAGCTTGTGCCTTGTTCCCGGGGCTTGCTTTTGTACATGCATATGGAGCCCGCCTTCGCTTGCGTGGATGCTCGCGGGATTCCCAGCAAGGGGCCCCGGAGGCTGGACTAGCCCCAAAGTTGGCCCCCGGAGCTGCGGGGAGAGGGAACAGCTGCCTTTCCTGGATCTGCCTGGACCTCTTCTGGGTCCCTTCCTCCTGCGCTGCGCTCCCGGCTCTTCGCTCCAGGTTAACTTGGCTCTCTAAGCGGCGGGCGGCTGAAGGCTGCGGGCGCTGAGGGGCCAGCGCGCCCACCGACCGTGCAAAGAGGACAGCTGCGGAGCGTGGCAGGGACCGGTCCGGGGACTGGAGCTGGCCTGCCTGTTCTCTCCTCCACTCCCCTTGCGGCGAAGGTTAGGGAGGCATCGTTGATTGGAGTGTCCCCAGCCCGGCGCTATAAATTGGATTGACTCGCAATCTGCCTGGTTGATCCGCTCCGCCGCCCCGGCCGCCCCCCTCCTCTTGGCCCCCCGATGACTCTGGTCTAAAACCGATCGCCCTTCTCCCCACCCCCTGTCCGCCTTTGGCTGGAGGCGAGCGGACGAGACCATGAAGAAGGCGCTGCCCGTTGCGGAGATGCCCGCCGGCCAGTGACGGAGTGCGGCTGCCGGGGACTCCGGCCGCCCCGGGGGATCGCCCCTCTGCCCGGATCGCCCTCGGCCCGGCCCCGCCCCAGCCCGGCGCGGCGGAGCAGCCAGCCCCCGACTCGCCGCGCTCGTGGCCCTCCCGCCGGCTGCCCCCGGGCACGCCCTGCTCCGCGCTGCCCGGCATCGCGCCCGCCCGCCCGCCCGGCTCGGCTGCGCGGCGCCCCCCCCGG